CATGAGGCTGACTACTGGGTAAAACACGGCTCAACCAATCACCCAATTCCCAATACCTATTTCCCCTCATACAACATATCCCCTTCTTTGATCCAGAACCCCAAATGTAACAACTAACCATGGGGAGCGCATTTCAAATCCCCTTACTGGTTCATATAAAACGAATTAGTTCTACCTGACCTTGAAAAACCAACTCTTCTACAGAACATTCACAACCCCTTCTACACTAGCCATTTCCTGGGTTCTGGTAAAACATTTCTTTCTTTTTTCTTTTTCTTTTTTTTTTTGCGACGGAGTTTCACTCTTGTTACCCAGGCTGGAGTGCAATGGCGCAACCTCGGCTCACCACAACCTCCGCCTCCTGGGTTCAGGCAATTCTCCTGCCTCAGCCTCCTAAGGAGCTGGGATTACAGGCACGCGCCACCATGCCCAGCTAATTTTTTGTATTTTTAGTAGAGACGGGGTTTCACCATGTTGACCAGGATGGTCTCGATCTCTTGACCTCGTGATCCACCCACCTCGGCCTCCCAAAGTGCTGGGATTACAGGCGTGAGCCACGGCGCCCGGCCTCTGGTAAAACATTTCTTAAGTTCCCATTTACACATAATCCCAGATATAAAGGAACAGTTAAAGCCATTTCCCATCAATGCTCCATTTGTCAAAAACCTTCACCCCACTCCAGCACTAGACCCCCTTCTTTCCCAACACATCAAGCCAGCCGACACCTTCCAGGACAGGATTGGCATGTTGATTTTACCCTCATGCCCCCAGTAAAAAGGGTTTGATTTCTTTTAGTTCTGGTTGATACCTTTTCAGGATGGGTTGAGGCTTTTCCCACAACCAACAAATGAGCTTCTACTGTCACACTCAAAATTAATAACAGAAATAATCCTCAGGTTCAGGGTGCCTATTTATTTTCCATCTGATAATGGTCCTGAATTCATTTCTCAAATTATTCAAACACTTGCACAAGCCCTAGAAATCACCTAGAAGCTACTCATCCCCTATTGACCTCAATCTTCAGGAAAGGTTGAAAAATGAATGGCATTCTAAACACCCTCATCAGGTACTCACTCCGAACACATAAAGACTGGGTTACACTTTTGCCTTTAGCCCTTCTAAAAATGTGGGCGCTCCCATGTAAAGCTTCCATACTCAGCCCTGTTGAACTCACGTATGGGAGACTATTCACCCCTTTTGCTCCACCTCAGGGTCAAGCCCCACCTCTACCAGTCCCTCTCATTTCCCCTCTTCTACACAGCATCTGCCATTTCATTTGGGAATATGCAGACAAACACCTGTTACTGACTCCTTATCCCTTCCTACAGCCAGGAGACTGGGTTCTGGTAAAAGATCCCTGTCCCACCCCCAAATCCCCCCTCACACCTAAATGGAAGGGGCCTTACCAGATCATCCTTACGACGCCCATGGCAGCAAAACTCCAGGGACTCCCCAGCTGGATTCAGTATACTTCTCTCAAGAACACAGACTTCCCTTCGCCACATACCCAAACTACCAAGTCTAAACCCCCTTCGGTCTTCTCTTGCATCTCCATAGGACTCAATTCCTTTTGCCTCACCTGAATCCCAAGAGAAAAGGAGGAGAAAGTAACAAAAGCCACTTAAGTCTCTTTCCCAAACTTTCATCACTTCTTAATCAACCTTGTTACAGACCTGCATTGATACCCTTACAAAGCTCCCATTATATATCCTGATCAGCTCCTTACTGTTCTATGGGATCTATGGCTTCAAGGAACTTTCCAGGACTTTACTCTTACCCAAATAACTTTTTTCTCTTTTTTTCTTGTTTCTTTCAATATAAATTCCCTAATTACATCAACCTCACCAATACAACCACTCCTAACTGCTCTCAAGCTGGAACGTTCTATAAGCCTTACACAATCCCTCTTGCTGCAAGCTAACTCTTCCCTTGCTCCGGAGTGCTGGATGTGCTTATTGCTGTCTTCCTCAACTTACACAGCCCTTCCTGCATGCCTTCATGACCTTTCAACGGGAAACATAACTATAAACTCCAGAAAGGAGCTTCCTTTTTTGAAAGAGCAGACACTCTGGTCAGCGATTATCCCACTTCCAGGGCCAATCAGGCCAACAAATTATTTCAAACCTATTGCAACTCCCTATATCGCCTTAAGCCCAAGGCCCTCCCATGGAAAGGCCCAAAATTAAACACATCCCCTTTTTACAACAAGCCCCACTGTGCATTTCAGCCTCTGAGCAAAATTTCCCTGTAGGGTCCTTAACTTCAAACTAATACAACTGCACTATCAAACACCCCTCTGGCCATTCAAACTAACCAGGTTGACTATTAAGTATCACCTGAGGCAAACAGAGCTCAATTTACAGCCTCTCCCTAAACCAATGCCTCTGGCCTAACTTGTGCTGTCTCTGATGACTTTATTCGTGGTTCAGTATCAATGGAGCAACATCCGATTGCATTAAAAGTGTAAAAAACAACTCCTTCTGTATCTCTACTATAGTGGGTGTCTCCCTGGCCTCCTCATTGTCCACCTGGAGTAATGAACCATAGGAAAGAACCCCCCCCCCTTTTTTTTGAGACAGTGTTTAGTTACCCAGACTGGAGTGCAATGGCACGATCTCGGCTCACCGCAACCTCTGCCTTCTGGGTTCAAGCAATTCTCCTGCCTCAGCCTCCCGAGTAGCTGGGACTACAGGCACGCACCACCATGCCCAGCTAATTTTTGTATTTTTAGTAGAGATGGGGTTTCACCATGTTGACCAGGATGGTCTCGATCTCTTGAGCTCGTGATACACCTGTTTCGGCCTCCCAAAGTGCTGGGATTATAGGTGTGAGCCACCGCGACCGGCCGAAGCACCCCAATTTTAATTCACTTATTTTCTTTCCACATCTCTACTTGTATTTATGACAAAGCCTTGTTCTTTTTGTGTGGCATCAACACATATCTTTGTCTCCTCACCAACTGGATCGGAACCTGCCCCCTAGTTCCTCCTAATCAATCTTTACCTGTTCCATCTGTCCAATATGTTAGAAAAAGGAGGGCCATCCAAGTCATTTCTTTGATGGCTGCCTTAGGTATAACCTCCAGGCTTGGATTGAGAGTAGATCGATCACCTCCTTAAAATACTTTAAAGCTTTTTCAACAGAACTACGGTGTTCATTAGAAGATATAGGCTGAAGCTTTATGAGAGCCCAAGACCAACTATACTCCTTGGCTGGAGTGGTCCTCCGAAATAGAAAGGCTCTTAGAAGGGCTGAAAAAGGGGCCTCTGCCTCTCATTGGGCGAGGAACATTGCTTCTATCTCAACCAACCAGGCCTAGTAAGAGACACTGCCGAAAAACTTAAAGAAAGGGCTAAAAAGCTAAGGGAATACCAAAATAACCAAATACATTCTTGGTTTAGGAACAAAATCCTAACACAAGTCATGCCATTCCTGGGCCCTCTCCTAATAATATGGCAATGACTAATGTTGTTACCCTGCTTAATTAACCTTTTCAAAGATTTTTAACTGACAGGATCATGGCCATTTCACAGACAATTACCCAAAAAGAGCTACAGATGATGTTACTCCTATAATCAATCCGAGACCAAAGAACTCTCTACCTGCCACCCCTCAGCAGGAAATAGCCCAAAAGAAAATGTCTCCTTGTCCTTTATATAACTATAGGGACTGGGTTGACAGAGCAGGAGCATTGCCAACTTGGACAAACACCACCATTTTAAGTTTCCCTTGATTAAAAAACCGCTTACATCCAGCCTCAGAACATCAGCCTGATGGCTAATGTCAGCATAACTGAAACGTTCCAACCCTAAGATAAACTCTACTCCAACCACAAGCATGCCAACCCTGAGATGGCCTCCCCTCCAACCAGAGACGATCTAACCCTGAAATAAACTTTCCCTCACTTAGAAACATTCCGAACCTATGCTCATCTCCCCTCTTCCGAAACCCTTAAATACCCTTAGTCATTAAGAGAGAACACTCCTGACTGAAATTGGCCAGAAGCCCCCTCTCAGGTTTATTCTCCAAAATAAACCTGTCTTTGACTGTTGAGACACTTTTCATGTTTCTTTCCTCTTTCTTTAACTCTTACATATAGTATCATTCCGTTTATATAAAATTATATATAGATATATGAACATATAATGAGATGCATCTAGGAAACACCATCAAAATGTTAATAAGGTTTATCCCAGGTGGTGAGAGTCCAGGTGAAGTTTTGGGATGTGGTTGGGAATCCTATTTTAGGATTGTAGGCGTCTATGTTCAGTCCACATTTACTCAGGAGACTTGATGGGGTGGGCCTACAAGAATCTATTCTTATGAGGACTCCAGAAGTTCCCTGGGAATAACTCTTTCCAAGAGAAAAATAATCAAGGGTCCTATGTTGGGGTCAAGAACAATTGCTCAGTATGAGAGGGGAGGGAAAATTATGAGTACATGGTATCTGTCTTGCAAACGAATAACGAGTTCAGCCTCCATCCATGTTTGCATTCTAGGGATGGGACCTCTAAGACATGGCCAAGTGAAGCTGGAAGTGTTGTTACAAATTTGCTCATTCAGTCTTTCATTCAGCAAATATTTACTAAGCACCTACTAAGTGTCCAGCACTATTCTAAAGGCTGAGGATACAGTGGTGAACCAAAACAGACAAGAATCCCTGACTTTATGGAGCTTATGTTCTAGTCCTTTTTTCCCCCTCAAGCATAGAAAGCATGTCTTCTTATTCTAGTGCTTAGAAGAATTCCTGACACATGTCAGGCACGTAATAAGTATTTATGTCATGGCACAGCATTTTCAGCTTTGGATTGTGATCTCTGGGTGTTTGTGGATGTATCTGACCTGCCCTTTTTTCTGTAAACTCCTTGAGGGGAAGACAGTATCATAGACAGAGTAGGGGCAACAGATGGTTGCTGCCCAACAGTTGTGAGGACACACTGACGCAAGAAGCAGAAACAGAAATGGAGGAGCTCTTTCCTTTCACTCCTGTGGCTGCAGCGATGAGTATGCTCAGGCTTCAGAAGAGGCTCACCTCTAGTGTCCTCCTCTGTGGCAAGGAGAAGATCTGGTTGGACCCCAATGAGAACAATGAAATTGCCACTACCAACTCCGTCAGCAGATCTGAAGCTGATCAAAGATGGACTGATCATCCTTAAGTCTGTGACAGTCCATTCTCAGGCTCGATGTTGGAAAAACACCTTGGCCCACCAGAAGGGCAGGCACATGAGTATAGGTAAGCGAAAGGGTAGCCAATGCCCGAATGCCAGAGAAGGTCACTTGGATGAGAACGAGGATTCTGCACTGGCTGCTCAGAAGATACCATGAATCTAAGAAGATTGATCACCACATGTATCAAAGCCTGTACCTGGAGGTGAAGGGGAAAGCGTTCAAAAACAAGTGGTGAATCCCTGTCTCTACTAAAATTACAAAAATTATCTGGGCATGGTAGCATGCCTGTAGTCCCAGCTACTCAGGAGTCTTGAGGCAGGAGAATTGCTTGAACCTGAGAGGCGGAGGTTGCAGTGAGCTGAGATCCAGCCACTGCACTCCAGCCTGGCAACAGAGCAAGACTCCATCTCAAAACAAACAAACAAACAAACAAACAAACAAGCAAACAAACAAACAAACAAACAAACAAGCATGTGGGGGATCGGTCAGAGTGGTGGGAAAAAATATAGGGAAAGGACACAAACATTCTGAAAGGTGGGAAGGTTTTGCAGAGCCGGGGGAGAGAATAGCTGAAGGCAGCTGTTCTATAACCCTGAGGCAGAGGGCAAGGAGTAATACAAGAGAGTGCAGGGGAATTTGTCTTAAATACACTTGTCTACTTATATTGACCAGAACTGACCTTTGATCATGTGGGTGTGAAATTCCCTGAAAGGGGAACAATACAAATGTTAATTACCTACAGGTTGTGTTTGCTCCAGGTTTTTGGCATTGTGCCTACGCGGAATAAAAGGAAGTAGCCCCAGCTTCTTTGGGCTGCTCTCTGGCCACTAGAGCCAGGCAGTCACCTAGCTGATCTTATACTGCATACCTGTGTCTGACTACTCATTTCATCCATCCGCCAGGGTCTATGGGACAGTCCCAGCACAAGCGGAGGCGCATGGAACACATCCACAGCCGAAGGCAGACAAGGCCGTCAAGAAGCTCCTGGCTGACCAGGCTGAGGCCTGTAGGTCTAAGATCACGGAAGCACGCAAGTGCCTTGAAGAGCGCCTCCAGGCCAAGAAGGAGGAGATCATCAAGACTTTGTCCAAGGAGGAAGAGACTAAGAAATAAAAGCTCCCCCTTTGTCTGTACATACTGGCCTCTGTGATTACACAGATCAGCCATTAAAATAAAACAAGCCTAAAAAAAACCCACAAAACAGAAATGCAGATGAAATTGGAGAGACAGATGGACATATCTTCGTGATGGGACCCTCAGTGGACTTGGTGACTCACCCAGGAGCCAGAGTGAAATGAGAAAAGAGAATGAATTCCAGGTTTTGGCCCCAGCTAGCTGACAGAACAATACCATGAGAACAAATGTAAGAAATTTCAAAAGCAAAACTGGCTTTTGTAGAAGACTAATGGTTTTAGATATTTTATTTAGGTGACATTATTGGAATGTCAGATGGAAATATTTAGCAGCTAATGTGAAATGTACATCTGAACAATTAATTTCAAAGAGGGGGATCTAAAAGTTTTCTGTTGAGGTGAGAGCTGAGGTCATGACAGTGAGTGAATGAGTCACCAAGAAAGAGAGATGATATTCCCAGGACTTAGGGTCAATCCATTGGTGCTAATTACGGACCACGTGGCTCTGCGTATGCCATTTAAGGGCTCTAACCTTGTGTCCTCAATTCTGTAAAGGGCTAACCGCATCCAAAATATTATTATGGCAAGATATGGGTGAAAGTGATTTGTAAATCAATAAGGACAATGCAAATTAAGGCTTTTGGTGAAGGATGACAGCTGCCTGAGGAGTGAACACTGGGGTTATGACCTTGCCTTTTCATCTCATCAGTACACACCCACTCATGCTTTAGATTTCAGCCCCAGCAGCCTTCCTTGACCACTCATGGCCTAGTGTCACCAGCATGGGTGGTCATTGCAAGTTGACTCTTGTTACTGTGTTGATTTGATCTACACCTGTCTCTCATCTCTCAGTTGCACCCCCGGGAGCAGGCCTCACATCCATTTTGCTCCCCGCTCAAAGTGCCCCACTCTGTGAATATTCATTGAATGAATAGAGGAGAAAGAAGTAAGGGAGCAAAGGCAGCAAGAAGGATGGAGTCAGAGAAGGAGGAAGAAAAACAGAAAACCACAGCTAGAGGCATAGCTGTAGAGAGCTTTTCAAAAAGGAGGCATGATCAGCAATACTGAACGCTTTAAGAAGCAAAAGCAAATGAGGAATTTGAAAAACTCTGGATTAACAGTATTTAGAACATTGCTGCCTAAAACAATGGCTTAAATATGGCAAGAGACAAAGCTGTTGGATAAGGCTAGTCTCTGATTTCTAAAGAAGGTATATGTAAGTATTGAAAACCCATTGTATTTCCATTAGGCATTGAACCCTAGGTAGCCTTGCCTTGTGAAACAAGAAGACAAAAGGCTTATTACTCAAGCAGAGTAACTTGAATAAACTATAGAACTCTGTGAGCCGAAACCAGGTGTGTATTCATCCCCACAGGTCTGTAGTTGTTGCTAAAGAAGCTTTATCATTGCTGGGCCTTTGTTCAAAACCCAACCGTTGCAATAAATTTCAGTTCAATTACTTTGATTTGTCTCTGGTGAAAAAGCACAGTTAATTGGCATTCAGGTATTTTGTACAAATATTTAATAACTTCCACACACTATTTCATAGTGTAGACAGTCATTTTCTAAGCTCAGCTTTCATCTTTGCAATGTAAAATATTTGGAAGATATTTCTATTTGGCCATACAGACCTGTTCTTATGTTTTTAAGAATTCTGGAGAGGACACCCCAAGCTTTCTACACTCTGCCATAAAATAAAATGCAGTATCAGCCGGGCGCGGTGGCTCACGCCTATAATCCCAGCACTGTGGGAGGCTGAGGCGGGTGGATCACCAGGTCAAGAGATCGAGACCATCCTGGTCAACAAGGTGAAACCCCGTCTCTACTAAAAATACAAAAATTAGCTGGGCATGGTGGCCTGCGCCTGTAGTCCCAGCTACTTGGGAGGCTGAGGCAGGAGAATTGCTTGAACCCAGGAGGTGGAGGTTGCGGTGAGCCGAGATCGCGCCATTGCACTCCAGCCTGGGTAACAAGAGTAAAACTCCATCTCAAAATAAATAAATAAATAAATAAATAAAATGCAGTATCTTTATTTCATGGTGGCTTCCTCAGTGTATTGTGGAGACTCTGATAGTTACATTTTTTAAATTGTGGTAAAAAACAAAAAATTTACCTTAATCATTTTTAGTGTGTAGTTCAGTAATGTTAAGTATATTTATACTGTTGTGCCACCAATCTCCAGAACCTTTACATCTTGCAAAACTGAAACGCTCTAGCCACAGAGCCACAACTCCCCTTTTCCTCCTCCCCCAGGCTGACAGTCATCGTGATGGTTACTTTTGTTTTTAATTGGGCTGGTCCCTAGAAGCTCTGCCCCAGTGGGTGACCTTAACACATCCCTGGAAGTGAGACTCCGGAGTCACTAGGTTCCCATAGAAATTAGGGTAATCATTTGGCTAATCCACAGAATCAGTAACTTGATACAATCTTAAACAAAGCGGAAGCAGTATTCAGGAGTGGATTCATAAACATCGTAAGACTGGATGGAGGTAAAGCAATTCCATTTCCAGGTATTAGTCAAATGCCATGTACTTAAAGGAGTGGGCAGTTCAACAGCTGGAGGAAATGTAGAGATGATACAGATCAAGTGGTCATCCATTTAGTTAATGTGTATTGACTGTGTGTAGGCTGGATTCGGCACTCGAAAATAAAGCAGGATCTCTGGCACAAGGCATTTGCAGCCAAGTAGTCCAGAAAAGAAAAAGCAGATAATAAAGACGTGTTTATTTCAGGCTACTTCCAAATTTCCTACATGCTTATGGGTGTTCCTTTTTTCCTCAAACTTATTTTAAATTGTAAATATATAGATGACCATATCCTCAATTTTAAAATCTCATCTTATTTTCCACCATACAGTAATTTTATAACATTAGTGCTTAACATGTTTATCATTTAAATGAATCTGGCTCACGTCCACTGAATGTCTACTAAGCACTTAGAAGTCATAGTCTCATTTACTCCTTAGAAATGCCTCTGAGGAGAATATCATTATCATTTTTATTTTGCAGACGAAGAAGTAGAAGCTCAGAGAGGCTGTGGGACTTCCAGAGTCACAAAGCTAGCAGGGGGCAGAGTTCGATGGGATGTGGGTGTTCTGGTTAAATTCAGTGGTCCTCTTCCCCATACATTTGGGACAGCTAGAAGGTTGTCAGTCACTCGTCAATGCACATGTGTATTGCGCACTTACTGAGCAAGGCATTTGAATCCTGCAACAAGTGTGAAAATAGCCCCTTACTGAGCTGACACTATAGTGAGGGAAGGCAGATAATCACAAACGAACACACAACTACAGACATGCTAGGTTTGCAAAGGGGTGCTTTGGGAGAGTGAAACTCAAAAACCCTGCCTAGTCTGAGGTGTGGGTGGGGATAGGGGTGGTGGAGGGTGTGACAAACGAGAATTTCCCTTCTGAAAATAAAGCTTCAGGACCCTGTTCTTACATGCTATTGACTGAAGCCAGACATAGTCAAGTTGGTTTTGTTCTGTGGGAGGATTTTGTTATTGCATGGGTGGATTCAACTGAATTGTGGATAGTACGTCTGGTCCCTACCCATACCAGCTGAAACCAGTTTAGTATTTGCACAGTGTGAAATACACCCTCTATGAGGTTTCTGTTTATACTCGTTTTGGCGCAAAAATTAGAATGAACGCCTGGGCAGGGAAGTAACACCTGAGCTATCACTTACTATGTTAGTGCTACTTTAAGCAAGGGAAAGGACAAGTATGGTCCTGTTTGTGGGGGAAAAAAAGTGCCATTTGACTTGATGCAAATTTTGAGAAAATAATGTCAACTTCGCTCTCTTCCCCTAAATTGACACAATCATGGGAAAAATTGACAGGAAAGTGTTAGCAAGACACATTGCAAAAGTTAACTAACACAGGCAAGAACCCACTTCTCCATTAAAACCAGGGAGCAGGTTTGCTTAGACATTTGCATGATGTATCTGAAAGTTAATTAACTATTATTAATTTCACTGAATTACATGAACTTTAGCCATCTTCACTAGATGTTCTCAGGCCCAGAATGGACAACATGCTCAGTGGAACACTGGACCAGACATTTGGTTATTAAGACATGGCATAGACTACAGTGTGAGATAATGGGAACCATGGTTTCCGGACTTTTGGGAACAGTCTTAATTTCTGATATTCCGTTTCTGGTCAAACCACAGCTTCTTGGAGACAAGGGACTGCCGTGTCTCATATGTCACTGTGTATCTGTCTCCAACAGACTGCATATTGTACACAATGGATGAATTGATGTCTGTCACTACAGAAAACATAATCATTACAATTATGAGAGACTTGTAATAAACCCAGAGATGTTGGAGTGTAAGTGCAGACTTGCCATTTATTCATGAATTAACTGATATAAGGAATAAACAGTTATTGAGCCCCTACTCTGTATCAGGCACTGTTGTAGATACTGGGATTACGGAAGCAAGTAAAATTCCACCCTGGTAGAGCTTAAGCGAGGGAAACAGATAAATGGGAAAACTAAGCTAATGATATGGCACATTAGGTGGTAATAGAAAATATGGAGAAAATGCAATAGGGAAGTATTGGAGTGGGGTGGTTTGCAATTTTTGACACGGTAGTCAGGGAAAGTGACATTTGAGCAGAAATGTGGAGGAATTATGCAGTGAGCCAGGCAGAGATCTGGGGAAGAGCCCTCCAGGTAAAGGTACTACAAGTGCAAAGACCCTGAGGTAGAGGCATGCCTGGCACTTTCAAGGAAGAGCAAAGAGGTCAGGATGGCTTGAGTAGACAAAACATGAGTGAAAGAAGCAGGAGATAACTGGGGGCAGAACACATAGGGCAAGCTCGTCCAACCTGCAGGTACCCAGGCCTCAAGCAGTCCAGGATGGCTTTGAATGTGGCCAACACAAATACATAAACTTTCTTTTTTTTTTTTTTAATTTTTTATTGGATTTTAGGTTTTGGGGTACATGAGCAGAGCATGCAAGACAGTTGCACAGGAACACACATGGCAGTGTGCTTTTCTTTCCTTCTCCCCTTCACCCACATTTGGCATTTCCCCCCAGGCTATCCCTCCCCACCTCCCCCTCCCACTGGCCCTCCCCTTTTCCCCCCAATAGACCCCAGTGTTTAGTACTCCCCTTTCTGTGTCGACGTGTTCTCATTTTTCATCACCCGCCTATGAGTGAGAATATGCGGTGTTTCATTTTCTGTTCTTGTGTCAGTTTGCTGAGGATGATGTTCTCCAGATTCATCCATGTCCCTACAAACGACACAAACTCATCATTTCTGATTGCTGCATAATATTCCATGGTGTATATGTGCCACATTTTTCCAATGCAGTCTATTATCAATGGGCATTTTGGTTGATTCCAGGTCTTTGCTATTGTAAACAGTGCTGCAATAAACATTCGTGTACATGTGTCCTTGTAGTAGAACGATTTATAGTCTTTTGGATATATACCCAGTAATGGGATTGCTGGGTCAAATGGAATTTCTATTTCTAAGGCCTTGAGGAATCGCCATACTGTCTTCCACAATGGTTGAACTAATTTACACTCCCACCAACAGTGTAGAAGTGTTCCTTTTTCTCCACATCCTCTCCAGCATCTGTTGTCTCCAGATTTTTTAATGATCGCCATTCTAACTGGCGTGAGATGGTATCTCAATGTGGTTTTGATTTGCATCTCTCTGATGACCAGTGACGATGAGCATTTTTTCATGTGATTGTTGGCCTCATATATGTCTTCTTTCGTAAAG